TTGCAATACCAGTAACAGAAAATTTCATTCTTTCAAGGTATGTGTGTATTCGAACAAAACATTTCCATTTTTATATACATTTGTATTTTTTATGGAAAATTCAATAAAATGAATCTTGAATCTATAAAATTAATTTTTTTTGGCTATAAAGTGGTAAGACTAAGAGTAACTTTTAGCAATACTCAGCATGCTCAGATCAAGTCATCAAATGTTGAATGTCTAAATTAGAAAAAAACATTTGGTTCTAATTTCAAAAATTTTATTTAAATTCCTTACAAATTGAGTTTTGGTTAAAAGTGTAATCATCTTTAATTGCAAACAATTTTTGTGAATGTCAATATGTTGGTAATTGAATAAGTGTGTGAAACTATTTTTTTAGAACTGTATGCTTGTAAATATTAGAAATAGGATGATCGAAATTGAAAGCATAAAAAGCAATAATATAAATTGAGAGTGGAAGACATGAGTCCAATTAATACATTCATCAATTTATTTGAAAGGAGAAATTCTGAATCTTTGTGAACGTGATAAATTGTTGTCTTTCAGGAGCAAGGTCCTGGATATCATGGAGGAAAGAACTTGATATTGTAGCTAACTTGGCCTATTTCAGCATCACAACTTTATCAGGTAATACATCACTACTTTTAAAACTTCATAAATTATTATAAAATTATCTATCATTATACTGTAGATATTATTTACCGACCTTATAAAAGCTAAATAATTGTTGTGCATATAGTTATTTGTATTTTAATAAATTTAATACACAGAGGTACATGGCAGTGGACTGTAGCTTGCTGGACAGCTTTCCTATCATGTATATAGCACTATGTTCAAAGTAATTTGATTTCCCTCATCAGTAAAATTAACTCAAATTCATTGTTACTGGGAGTTGAAAAATGCCTACAGTATAAAAATAAAAAAAATTTAGGCAATGAACCCTGAATTCTAAATGTCACTGTACAACACATTTTTTGTCTAAATGAGACCATTTAATACCACGTCAGTCCGTTGAACCGTTGATGTATTGTGTGCCTTTACTCTATCATTTTGTTATTAAAAAGTGAAATTTAAATCATATATAGGATATATTTCTTATCTGTACAAAGTCATTCTGTAAGGTGAAAGTCATAGTCTCAATTCCATCTGGAATCGTCCTATTTATATTTTTTCTTCACCTGTTTGATTAATAGGAAAGCATTTCAGTTGCAGCAATATCTGTAATTATTCCGCTTTGCTTCAAGTGCAGCAAGATTGAATAACATTCATTTATCTTGTTTGCTTAGGGTTGCAGACCTTAGGTGAAGAATATGTGAATATCGTCCAAGTCAAGAGCACAGCTCGTAAGGTGCCATCCATAAATGTAATTATCTAAATTCTGTACAACAAAAGTATCTATGCAGATTAGAAGAAAGTTAATAACAATAGTATATGGTACTGCACATCATAAAATTATATCCAGATATTCTTAATTTGTGGCAAAGACAAGACAAACCAGTCACTCGTTGCAAAAATCAATTTTTAGTTATTAATACAAGGTTAAACAGTAAAATAAGAGCTATGCAATGGTAAAGAATAATTTAAATCCGACAGTTGGTTATGAAGTTACAGGAGTTTAAACATACAGCTGTTTAAATAGTATTTGAGATGTAAGCCTTTAAAGTTTATGATTTCGGGTATTTCTCAGGCAGAAATCATTACCAATATATTGTAAAACTAGAGGGCACCCGGAGAGTGCATACCTCCGCCCACATCAAAATTCTCCTCAATATAAATTTTCCCCGCATTTTGTCCCCATTCAAAAAATAATGAAAAAAAAACCTCCTTAGTATTTGAACCTGGGGCTGGTAGTGTGGAAAACACTCATCTAACCATTACACCAAACTATTTTCACACATCACTTTGAAATTAACGGTCATGTGTTTGTTTACAGTTTACCGGCACACACACACACACACACACACACACACAAGTCTGTACGGCCAAAAGTTATACAAGTTTTTTTATCATTGTGTCCTTGACCTTTGATCCTGGCCCTCAAAATTTAGTTACTTCCAGATCTTTGGTGAACGAACATTGTGGCCAAGTTTGACAAATTTCTGATAGAAAATGTTCCAAAAAACATTTTTTTGTTGATTGTGACCTTGACCTTTAACCCTTACTCGTGAACATTCAAATACTTTACAATCTTTGGTCATAGAACATTGTGACCAAGTTTGTCAAGTTTGTGATTAAAACTATGGGCTGTAGACAAACATATAAAAAAATAGTTTTTTGTTGATGGTGACTTTGACCTTTGACCCTGACCCTTCAAAATTTAATCAGTTCTAGATCTTAGGTAAAGGAACATTGTGGCCAATTTTGATGAATTTCTGATAAAAGCTATGGGCTGCAGGCTGTTCACAGCGAATATGCCCACAGGCAAATAAATAACTAAATAAAAAAACAGGCAAAAACATAACCTCCTGCCAACATCGTTGGCGGAGGTAAAAATGTTGTTTTAACATTGAAAATTAGGAAAATAAATGCATAGCATGATATACAGATATATAGAGTTTAATTTAGTGCAATAAAATAGATTTCAAAATTTTTCACCCTGAAACAGGATTTGCGATGAGTGACTGGTTTGGCTTGTATTTGCCACATTTTGCTTTCCCATGAGTTCTCAAAAAAGTGTTATGTGTATAAAATATTAGAGCTTATTTATTAACATTTATATTGGTCGTTTATTTTATTGTGTTTAAATAATCAGAAATAAACAATGTATTATTATTATTATTATTATTATTATTATTATTATTATTATGAAAAAGGATAAACATTTCCAAGGATAGGTGATTGAGGGAGTGCTTACTGTACTGGTATGAGAAAGAAAGTAGATCTGACATAGAATAATAATATTCATAATTTAAAAAAAAATAATAAATCTGTATTTTGACATTCACAAGATTTCTATAAATCATTCTTTCTGCAAGCCATAAGTTTCCTCCATTAACAATGACCTTCCAAACATCAACATACATTCCATTCGTGATTTCTATGATTTATATTTTTTCTAGTTATCAGGTACTGTATGTAGTTTAAGTAAATGTTTGTATTTGTTTTTAAATGGACGATGATAAAAGAAAAAGCAAATATGGTTTGGATTTAATAATAATGATTTAAAAATAATAAAAGCAATAATTTTAATTATCTGTATCAATTAAACCTGAAAATATGACTACAGTATCAAATATAATTAACATTGTAATTGGCAACATTTAAAATTAATTTTTAAGTGATTTTTGACTCATAATGTGATTCAAATTTCCATTCGTGATTTCTATTATTTATATTTTTTCTAGTTATCGGGTACTGTATGTATTTAAAGTAAATGTTCATATTTGGTTTTAAATCGATGATAGAAGAAAAAGCAAATATGGGTTTGAATTTAATGATAATAATATTAAAGTAATAAAAACAATTATTATAATTCTCTGTATCAATTAAACCTTGAAAATGTGACTATCAAGTATAATTAAAATTGTAATTGGCAACATTTTAAATTAATTTTTAAGCAATTTTTGACTCATAATGTGATTCAAGTGATCATATATTAAAGTAGTTCATCATTTTTTTCCCCAATCCTCAATAGCAAAGAGTTGTGTTAGTGCTTTTGCACGCACTGGGTCCGTATGTTACTGACAAAGTGTTGGCATTGCTGGAAAGAAGAATCCAGTCTGAATGGGCATCATCTTATTTATCAGCTACAACCCGAAAAGTGTTGGAACAATATTTACCTGTACTTCGCTACCTCATAAAATACATTCTTAGGGCACATTTAGCATTGTTTTATCTACAAGGGACATTTTACCACATAGCGAAAAGGTTTACAGGTATTAAGTATGTAAGTAGGCATCCCCTTTACATGTTTTTATTCATACTTATGAATGATACTAAAGTCTCTTTGAATGTTAATGCGTCATTGGATTAAGAAACACTCATACATAATATCAAGAGAGTAACTTTCTTAAGCCTCAATCGCACTGGATTTATTTCAGTAAAAGTAACCGTCTTGTCAGTAAGTTTGACCGAAAAAATCCATTGCAGATAGTCCCACTTGGTTAACTTGACTGTCGCCGCCGGTTAGTTTTCGGGAGTGAAATTTACTCAGGAATTCCTACCGAGCTACTGTACTTTGACCGGCCTGGAAAATCCAATGCGAACAGCCACAGGACGGTTAAATTAACCGAATCCCGAGCCTCATTGTTCATTTCGGTTAAAGAACTAGCTAGAAAGTAAGTGCAAATCAGGGCACGAAACAGATCAAGGGATCAGAAGGCTGTATGTAGGTCATGTCAGTACGGGTCATGTTACGGGTCAAATGTACCGCCATCAATAGTTAATTTTACACTACTCGAGAAAACTAACCGAGTTGAAAAGTCCAAGTGCGATTGACGGTAACATTTACCCTAGAAATATTTGCCGTGATGACGGTTACATATTCCCATAATTTAATCCAGTGCGATTGAGGCTTTAGTTGGCTAATCTGGTGGTAGCCACTGTGTGCATTGATTTGTAGAAATCTGTTTTGTCCCTGGTGCAATTCTCGCTGCTCTCCTGTTTGAAATGCATGTTTCAATAGTCCACTGTCTTTCGGATGAGAACTTTGGTTCTGTGTGCAATATTGCCAAATAATCTGCATGTTAAAAAACGTGCACATGAATAAGTAGAGGTCAAACACTACATTCACCACCAGAAAGACCCTAAATGGATATAAAAGTCATCTGACTTTTGAGAGCTATCCTTTGTGTATCGTACACAGAAAAATATCCATCAAGGTTCAAAGTCTCATTTTTCGTTTTAAAATCTTTTTTTAATTGTGCATATTTTTCGAATTAAGAGACGCTTACTATATGGTGGGAATGTGATTGAGATTCTACAGTAAATCTAACCTTGCCGTCAGAGGTTGAACCTTCACTGTAAATTTGCTTGTGTCATTTTCTGCAAAAAACTTTACCTACACCCACTCAGGAGTGTAATTGAGTACGTGGTTGATTCAAACACTATATACTTCATGACTATAATGGTTATTTGATTTTTCTTTTGTAAGGTTCTGATCCGTCCAGGTCTTGGGTCCGAATCACTAAAGCCAAGCTTTGTATTCTTGGGATACCTAGCCCTCGGCCAGCTGATGCTTAGCATTTTAATGCATGGCACAAGCATTTGGAGGCAGCCAACCCCTTCAGATGATGCAGAGACCAATAAACACACTATAAGGTATGACAATCACTATTCAAATTTCCATCCAAGGGCGCAGATCTGTTTTGAAAGGTAAGGGGACATTTCTTGAGACCACACCCACCTCAGCCCCAGTATTGTTGGGGCTGAGGTGCAAAAATTTGATGAAATAGTACCTAGATGGCTGGAAATGACACTCTTATATAGTGAAATTCATCATCATAACATCACCATGATCTTTTATCAGTGGTTTTCGGCTATCTTAAAGATCTAATTAATCTGTATTGTACCATAGAAAATATAACTTAAGTGTTTTTGATGTATTTACTTTACCGACGTTGTTTGCCGAAATCTTGTACTTTTTCTCATACTCCTCAAATTATATCCAAAGCACATGCACTCGAGTTGTGTATCAAAGGTAATTGAGACGTAAGTGATACAGGTATCTGCTATAATTATACCATTAGATGTACAGCACTGTACTCAGGCTGCACAGTGCTTTTTCGTAAAAACCTGGGTCATTTATGCAGTTCATTTCAACAAATTTCAAGCATCATCTTTACCTGTGCATTTACATTGTGGTCGAAATGTGGTGGGGGGACCAACATCCCCTTAAAAATATGTGGGGGGACATGTTCCCGTCCCCTATGATCTGCGCCCATGGTTCAAACACAAGGCAAATACCCATAAAAGGTGAAATTGACAACAGCAATTAAATAAGAAGCAGCGCCTGAGTGATAGTTTTTCTGTATATTATAATTAATTGTTTATCCTTCCAGTGAGTGTACATATATGAAATGCATCTATCTATGTGTAAAGTCCCCTATTAAATACACACTTGTACATTTCTATGAATTTTAATTGTCACAGTTGAATAAGATGTGATGTGTTTACACTCTTGCATTGGGAATACAACGCTGTTATTTACAAAATAGATGTACTGACAGTACAGTATATGCATCTTACAGAATATGGTTTTTATTTTATAACTATATATAATTTTTATACTTGTTTACTAAATAATTTTTATTTTTATTTATTTTTGTTAGTGAAAGTAGCAGTGATGCTATCAGTAAAACGTCTCGCTGCTCACTTTGTCTGGAAGAGCGCCAACATTCTACAGCAACGCCTTGTGGCCACCTATTCTGCTGGAAGTGTATTATGGAGTGGTGTTCAACTAAGGTGAATTGAAAATCTTTCAAATTTATTGTAATTTTTCATTATGGAAACATATTATATTGTAAATATTGCTTTAATTATTCTTAGAAAATGGAATCCATTTAATTATGAGAAAAATATATTTCAGACAGTGGCAAGGAAAAAATCTTGAATGTCATGAAATCTTTGAACAAAACCTGATTAAGGTCATAATATTGGCTGTTGTATTTGATGCTGACTGTTGGTTTAGCTCTCATTTGTGATTTATAGAGGGCGCTGTAATCTTTAGATATGATGCTTAATTTCGTAGTTGGGAGCAAATGCAGCCTTTAACTTAATCATTTTGCTTGTGCTTTGCATTAGATTTTGAAGGACGGTGAAAAGTATTACTTTTAGGAATAAGGTGCGATTAAATTTCAATCAGCTGTTTATCTTTTATTTTTAGCCTGAGTGTCCTTTATGCAGAGATGAAGTTCAACAACAAAATCTGGTTGCTTTAAAGAATTATTGCTGAGCTTACGAACGTATGATTGGTTAAAGACACAGTTTAAATATATATTTGATTGGTTAAGGCTACACAATTTGTAAAATCTGATTGGTTGAAGCTGCATAACACTGCTTGGTAAAATCTAATTGGTTTATCCTACTGTACATGACACATCTTTTGGAACTCTGATTTGTCTAAGCTAGCAGGCACAACTTTAATATAATTGGGTAAATGGTAAGCATATTGGATATGTAAAAATTAATATGTATAGTTTTTGAGATTGGTGTATTGAAGAAAGCAACATCCATTTTGAATAAATAAGCAAATTTAGAAAATATTGGAGAGACTTGGCATTGATTCCTACTGGCTTGAATTATACGAAGTGGTTCTTTACAGTTCATTTGCGGTGGTACTGGGTAACTATTTTAGAAGTAAGATAGCAACATTCGCTAAAACTTACCACTATTTTAAATGGTGATCTCTTTAGGGCGATGATTGATAAAACTTGAAGAACAAAACCTGTTTCAAAGGTCAATGTACTGCATGATATCAACAGGTAAAAATTGTCGTATTCGAATGGGAACTTTTGTGCTCAACGGAAAATCTGTTAAGTAATTTTCATATTCAGTTGTTGAATAACTTTTCCGTTGCGTTTTTACTGAATGTTTGAATTACTTTGTTGAGTTTGTACTAAACGTGGCTAACATACTCAACCGAATAAGTCCCAATCGAATATGCCAATTGTCTACTTGTTATGTGCAGTTAAAAAAATCATTTTTTATCAAACGAAATGTATTATAAATTTGTTTTTGTTTTTATACAATGACAAGCTTTTTAAAGTGACCTGCTCACACCTGGTAATTATACATTTACCTTGCTGCAGTCAGGCATAACAAATCCTCAAAAGCCCAGGTAGTGCCTCTACGCTATTACAGTATCAATGAACCTTTCCAGTAAGCCCCGCCTCCTGGTAATTATACATTTACCTTGCTGCAGTCAGGCATAACAAATCCTCAAAAGCCCAGGTAGTGCCTCTACGCTATTACAGTATCAATGAACCTTTCCAGTAAGCCCCGCCTCCTGGTAATTATACATTTATCTTGCTGCAGCCAGGCATAACAAATCCTCAAAAGCCCAGGTAGTGCCTCTACGCTATTACAGTATCAATGAACCTTTCCAGTAAGCCCCGCCTCCTGGTAATTATACATTTATCTTGCTGCAGTCAGGCATAACAAATCCTCAAAAGCACAGGTAGTGCCTCTACGCTATTACAGTAAGCACAGGTAGTGCCTCTACGCTATTACAGTAAGCACAGGTAGTGCCTCTACGCTATTACAGTAAGCATAGGTAGTGCCTCTACGCTATTACAGTAAGCACAGGTAGTGCCTCTACGCTATTATAGTAAGCACAGGTAGTGCCTCTACGCTATTACAGTAAGCTAAGCACAGGTAGTGCCTCTACGCTAATCAATGAACCTTTCCAGTAAGCCCCGCCTCCTGGATATTGTTGCTAAGGTCCCACGAAACAAAAGCGTAAATGTACGTAAGCGTTCGTTTGTGGAACAAGCGCATATTTCTAGTCCTGTTCTCACTGGTCAGTTGTTAAGTTGGTTGACACTCCAAAAGTTTGACAACAGAATCGTTTCGCAGGGAAGATTTATAAACTGAAATATGGTGGCTGTACCATTGTAAGGTATATAAATATATAATACTTTTTCAACTAAAGTACCATATTTTATCAGGAGTGTATCCAGCATTTTTTCTAGGTGGGTTGTGATCATAATTTTTGGGACCTTTTTAGTGGGAGACAGGCTCATTCTCTAAAATTGAGATAGATTACTCACGCAATTGGCAAGGTCTTTGGACTCATTGCTGGTACCTCCTCAATGCTTTTTCATTTACGTCATTGTGAAAAGTCCCCGGAAAAATGTCTTTTTTTTGGGGGGGGGGTCATACGACCTTTCCTCTTCCCCCCCCCCCCAAACCTTGGCATACACCCATGTTTATAGAGTAGAACCCCTATTAAGGGACACCTTCGGGACCTAAAAAAGTGTCCTCTAAATAGGGGTGTCCTTTTAATATGGGTGTCCTTTTAATATGGGTACCCCCTACAAAAGTGTCCCCTTCATGAATAAATAAATCTTAAGAACCACAATAGGTGATACGCTGTAGCAGCGTATCACCAAACAATAATAATAATCATTACAACATCTTCGATCTGGATGATTCTCTCGAAAAAAATGTTTATTCAAAACATATTTTATTACAACAGACGATATGTCAAGTTAAAACATGTTGGCCTACTCTAAAATGAATTGATTTTCTGTTACCAATTATGAATGTTATACAACCAGCAGATCAATTGATTCGCTGATTATATTAATGAATAATTATAATGTATTATAGTCTTTCTTACTTTACCATTACCAACTGAAATTCTTCTAAAACATACGATAACATTTGTTGGCAAGGAAATACGTAAAAATTACCAGCATTCCTCAATTTGTTTTTAGTGTTTATGAAAGTATTTGAGTTTTAAATCTTTAAACAAATTCATTTGGAGTGATGATTAGGCCTATTTGTATTTAGATTTTTTTTTTTCAAACTGGGCATAGATGATAACCTCGTTTAGTTTGTTTTTAATATTTACAATATTAATTGAGTTTTAAATGTTACTGATAAAATTTCCAAATTTGTATAAAGATGTAGATGATAACGATGTATAAAGAAATTGATGAGCGCCCTCTATGTGAGTAGAAGATCTAGCATGAACCGATTTTCCATATTTTTCGCCGTCCTTAAAATACAATAGATGAACATATTACACTGCCATAGATATATATTTCTAACTATTGTATATATAACTATAATTAAACTGATGTGAACATCAGAAAACAATTAAATTCAACTGTGTAGGTTGTGCAAACACACGCAACTTACTACCCATATTTTCAGATTTTTATTATCAATTTTCGTTCTGAAAGAGGGAAATTTCGAACACGGTGGGGTAAGTGTAGCCGACAGTGAACACATGGGGTAACGAGACCTGTGCACGGCCGTAGTCATGGGTAGTTCTACTCACAATGATATACAATAATAATGGAAATCCAAATCTACGTATATTTAAAACAACGAAGTTAAGTTATTAATTTCAAAGTTGTAAAGTGAATGAAAATGATACATGTTGACGTTCACGAACAATACAGATTCATGAATATCAGAAGCAGAAATGAACTGTTCAGTTGTTGGTAATTAGAACAATCGTCCGTGAATCCTGTTGTATGTATAAAAGAACAAAACGAATTATTGAATTATATAACATTCTTTAAAAATTGAGGGAAGTAATATAACGGGGGCGCATACTGTTAAAACAAAAAGGAGGGGTTTTGATTATTACGATCAACATACAACTGCATGGGCCTTATAAATCTATTGATTGAACGTAGGGCATTTATCCATTTTTGGTAAATCAATTATATTCAATCTAAACTTTATATATATTTACTATAAATTAATTATTAATTTCAAATGTATATGTATTATTATTTGGGTATTATGTATACATAATACACAAATAGACCTATACATAAATCCATTGTTTTAACATTAGCGAAGTAGATATGGACGATGTATACATACTGTCTCTGAAGCTGGGCTGCACGAAGTTTGTTGCGGACTTCTTGATTACCAGCCAAGTCAAGCGGTGTTTTACCCCGTTTGTTTCGTATATTCAGGTTTGCACCATTTACAACAAGAAAACACGCGATGGCAACACCTTTCCGGGAAGTACCCCCTAGGCCTGCACCTGCTAGCGCACCGAGCTACAAATGAAAACGAAAAAAAGACTGATAAATTTACCTTGCAAAAACAATGTTTGAATATGAATGATATTGAAATAAGACACTGTGACACTTGTTCGTATTGGTATTAGGAATACATGTGTTTCATACCATGCATTATATCTCAAAAATGATATTACAGAAATGACAAACTGTATTTCGGAAACTACTTTTAGTGGGTAGTTCTACCTGAATGTAGATCAACCAAATACAGTTTGCAGTGTTCACCAAAGTACAGTGATATTTTCTTCTTATTGAATACCATATTTTAAAATAAAGCTGTGAATATATAGGCCTGTGACTAGTCATTATGTAATAATAATGAGAATTGCATTTCCATTTCAGGAGCAGGGCCAGGCGACCTGCGAAGCACAAATTAAAACACATATAGGTATCTCTTTTCTTCCTCCTTTTCATTTTTGGGGGAGGGTTCAAGCCCCCATGGCCCCTGGATCCGCCCCTGCATTTCACTATGTTTAATACATATAATTTAACAAAGCTTGAGAGTAAGCTGAAATTGTCAAAAAATATTGGTTTACGTTTATATATTTCTGAGAAATAAAAGAGTTCATTGCTTTTCTTTAATCCAAACACCTCACCAGTAATAACTCGGGTGGCAGACTGGTCAATTCGCTGGTCATCATGGACAGGTGTAGACTCGTGTCACCATCGTTGTCTTGAACGTCCATGTTTGCCCCTCCCTTCACAAGAAGTTCGATAACTTGGTTGTGACCTTTGCCTACAGCACAATGTAGAGGGGTTGAACCACGTCCGTCTTGGATATTCTTATTACACATAGGCTATACAATATACAAAAAAAAATGTATAATAATGACTATATAGATGCAAACATTAAACTCTATACTCTTCTTGTAACAGACAGTATGCGTTTGTGTTGAAGTTGTTTGCGAAATAGCATCGTAATAAAATTGACACCATAAATATCGTTTGAATAGTCTACTAGGAACAAAATTTACCAATTTTATCTACCCAATTGCAGGCAGCTGTATAAAAATATATATTGGCTCACCGTTGAGATGAAATACTTCACAGCATTGGGGCTGTCGTTCATTGCGGCAAGGTGTAGTGCTGTCAAGCCGTCCGATTTCCTCGAATTCATTACGTTCGAGTTTTTCTGAACCATTTTCTGAAGTGACCTGCAATATGGTCCAATCATTAATTAATTTCAGTTTAGTGTAATCTTTGATAATAACAAACGATATATCAATGTTAAACAACTTCCTAACTGGTTCGATGGTTAATATTTTTTGCAGAGTATTTAATTTAGTTAACTATGTATACAACATAATTTTGTCTTGAAAATACCATAGCGCCAAATTCAAAATGCCTTATATCACTTCAGTTTACTTCAAACATAATTCATCAACGAATTAAAATGTTCAAATATATATTTTATATATGGAGCAATCAAACCTTTTGAATCTTGGAAATCAATCAATCAATATTTATATGTAGTTAAAATTCTAATAATTTTCGGCCGTAACAATATAGAATATGTCTGAAACTATTCAGAATTGGAATATATGCTATAAATGTATAAATGATACAGTCTAGAAGTAGGTATTTGCTAAAATAGATGTTTCAATGAATGCTACACGTTTAAGGTCAGAAAAAGTTAATGTGAACTAATGTTGTGCGGTAGAGAACCTCGATGTTCGTCTGACAAATGAATAGTTCTCGGTTCATTTTTACAAAACATGCTAGGATTTCATCTCCCAAAATCTAATTTTCTCTGCGAACCCCATAATAATAGATTTAAATAGATCGCATGAATGATCGAGGATGAAATCCACTTGGATTAATATATATATAATGGCACAATTCTAGAAAAAAAATGGTGTTTCAAAATATTCGACTGCAGTGTCTACTTGTTTATGCAAAACTTACACAACATCATCGTGCGCTGCTGCAAGGTGAAAGGCGTTCATACCCTTGCCGTTGTTGAGCAATAAATTGATATTAGGATGTTGAACCAACAAAGTTGTAACGCTGCCATGTTTGTTAGAAGTAGCCTCATGAAGTGCAGTGTCTCCGTCATTGTCCTATTGGTGAGTAAACACACATTTTGATAACATTAGATATGATGAATTTAGTTTTAATAACTGTTTATAATAATCGTATCACATTATTTTTCCAAGAAAAAGCATCTTTTTGTCTTGATGCATATTTGTATTTGTTACGTTTAGGCTGTAAGTGCAGTTTGACATGGTCGTAATGATTTCGTCAGAGGTATGACACCTTCGTTGTAAAATACTTTGATGTTCTATTAAGAGAATAATTATTTGATTCAGAAAATGAATTATAAAAATTATAATTATTGACAAAAAAATATATACGCACGGGTTAAAAACAGTAAATTGGCTGAATATTTTTAAAATTATGAAGCTTATTTTATTCTCACAATGCTTTAAAAATATTTTTGATATCAACAAACTTCAGACAATCTTCTTAATGTTCCGTCTAAATAACAATCAGTTTCCCTCTCATTTTAATACAATTTAAAAAAAATAACTTCATATGATATTAGGTCTTCAATTGTCAAGAGTTTTATTTATAAAAGCAATACCACTTTATTGAGGACATATTTATGGGCCATATTTATGGAACAATTTCTATTTAACCTTAAGTTATCACATACCTTAAAATTTTGTAAAAGAAAATATAAATAATAATTGACCCTATGTATGCCTCTTAATTTTCGTTTATCCACTATTAAATACGTAACAGTCATAAGGCAAATATAATTGAACATTTTTATTCCACATTTCGATTGCTCAATTTGTATATTTGATTTTCAATTTATACACGATTTATTTACAAAATACTCCAAAAATGGAGAAGTAAAACAGTACTAATTATTATTAAGTTATTAACTTTAAAAAAATCCAGCGTAAATTTTCGGAAAGTTAAATAAATGACTTTCCTGTATTCTATTGCATAGATCTTTAAATTATCTAGTAATCAATTTATGTGTTTTTTTTAGTAAAATGTGTGTAAATCGGTGAAAACTACTTTTTTTTCGATGATTCTTGTTGAAACCTTATAATTTATTTGATCCTTCGAATGAGTTATTCAAAATTTTATTTGATTTTTTAGGTATTTCCCTGTCTGTTTTGACTGATAGTAACCGTAGTGATTAAACTATTAAGAATATCTGTACCACTCTTTTTCATTTATATTTCTTTTTATTTCCTGATTATTATTCACATATTTCATTATTATTTTCTGATTTCTTAATTCATTCTTTAGACCTAAGCATTCGCTTATTGAGTAAATGCTTCGCTTGGAGGATCAGATTTAAAGCCTTCTTGCTTATGGTTTTCTCCACACACACACAATGGGACTTCGCTGTGTTTAGATAATTATAAATTTATATATATATTTTTTTCGTACAGATCTATTTTGTCAATATTATTGTTATTTTTAATTTATAAACCCATACTTTTCTATTGAATTATTATAACGGCATGTTTGAAGCGAGTCGAGTGGCCGAGCGGTAAGGCAGGGACGCCGCTAGCTACAGCCTTAACATCGGCGCTGGTTCCAGTCGCTCCTCGCCAATGGTTCGGTCGGTAGTACCAAGTCTTCTCGGATAAGGACTTAATGTGGAGGTCCAGTGTATACATCTGGATCGTGTGCACTTTAAAGAACCCATTGCATCTTTCGGAAGAGTTTGGGGTTACCCCGATGTTATGGTTCATTTCAGCCCCTGTCGTTGTGGAATGATGTGAACATGTATCTAGGTAGTCACGGACCACGCCCATACGCAATCCAGCACAATGACGCTGCAAGTTATGGGTTATTCACCTACCTTTACCCCCCCCTTTTTCCCCCCCCTTCCCCCCCCCCCCCCCCATTACCTTTACCTTTTGTATACTGTGTTCATTGTGTGAAACAATAAACTGAAACTGATTAAATGAAACAGCACACTTCAAATATGTTTTATTTAGCTTTAATAGATAATTTGTAAAAAAAAACCAACTTAATTATCATACCTTTATGTTAGGGTCACAGTTATAACGAGTCGAGAGAAGCACTGCGACACACCTTTCGTAACCCCGTCGTGATGCTATGTGCAGGCAAGTGTTGCCGTTATTACTACGCGCGTTCACGTTACAACGCTTGGAAAGCAGTAATTCGACAACTGCGGAACTGTTCCTATAAGTACAATTTACATCTGATAACTGATCCTATGTCCTATAAGATCGTTTTAAAAGTGTAGCTATAGCGTATTAGTTGATAGATAGTACTGTCTATCAAGTAATCTAAAAATAAAATAGGCTTATTATTTGGAAAATAGGTCTAGCACTTGGAATCTAAAAGAAAATTTGTAGGATATTAAAAAACATTGGTGATACAAATGTATCTTGCCAAGTAGCCTAGTTAACTCAGATTCACCAAAAGAAAGTAGTAAAGTAGTCTACATAGGCTGGATCATTCCATTTTTAACGCGATCTGATTAATCTCCAAATAAGTAATGATTACAAAGTTAAAATCATTCAGAACTTGAAGGCAGTAAAAATGGCAATAATAATTGTTTTTATATTAGATTTACCCGTATACAGCAAAAAATACAGCAGTCCAACCGTCTTTGTCTCGTTTTTCCATGTCACTACCCGCCTGCAACAGACGCTCGACAACAGCCTTATGTCCCTTAGCACATGCTGCCATTATTGCTGTCACGTTCTGCACCATTATGTCCACCTTTTATTAATATTAATAATTAATAACCTCGTTAAAATTTCACCGTAAATGTACATAATATTATTTTTTTTATTATCGGATTAATGCTCCTTTATCCTCAAATATTTACACAATTTGAAATGTCTATATGTTTCAATTTAAGCTGGACCTTAAAAAAAAATCCACAAATTGGATTTTTTACCGAGGTCGCACAAAACCACAGAAAAACATGCGTGTGGGAATGTGCGTAATACTGACCTGATTGGCCAGTGATTGACATTCTAGAAAGGTCTGTTATCAGTACCATGTTTTTACGTCAATATAATTATTGTTTGTGATTTTTTATCTTACCGAAGATGGGTTACTCCTAATACACCGGTCTACAGTTGATAAATCCCCATTTTGTGCGGCTTTAACCAACACAAAATCTGTGCTTTGACCACCAAGTAACAACTGAAAAAGAGCGTCCTCTGTTGGAGAAAAACACCGCTCAGTTGAAATCACTGACAATACTACAGATAGGTCTGTATAAACTGTCAATTATAACTATAATCATAACTTGTCAATTATCTATCGAAGTTGGATTGTATACGAATTCAATCTACATTACAAATAACCTTGAATAAAAACATTAATACAGTAAAGATAAACCATAACAAAGTAACAGTTCCATTCGATCAAGAACTTACCTATGTTTGGGCCTGTACGAGGTGATGTACCATCACTACGAGACTGTAGCTCAAGACAAGCAGGATTATAGTAAAAAGGGCGATGAATAGTGAAGTTTACCAAAACATCTCCGTCAGAATCCACCTTCATTACTTGACCGGTTTTCCCGATTGTCTATTCCATATGAATTTAGAAATGAGATCACTAAAGTATTGGATACATAACAATACTTAATTTTAATGTTATTCAGTCGTAGAATTATGGAAACCGGTATTTATGAGAATGCGATTGGCAAATTGACAGTCACGTGTTGTATTTTTTTGTTTGTGATCATTTTATTTTTACGCTGGAATTAAAATGGATATGAAAATAACTAAAATCAGAATAACTAAAATCAGAAAAGAAATTCAACTGGTTCAAGGCAAAAGTTTTTATGAAGGATTTCTTTTCTTTCTTTCATTCTTTCTTTTTTGTTGTTGTTGTTTAAAGAATAATTTAATAAAATATAAAAATAACTACAATAATAATAATAATAATAATAATAATAAATCAAAATTATTTAGAGAAGTAACATTGCATTTTACCTGCGTCATCTCAAGGGCGAAACCTCCATGACCATTTTGAAGGCTAATCATTTTGTCTATCGTCATGTCTTTCACTTTCACAATGTCTCCAGCTCTTAAGGGTCCGTCATCAGTCTTTTGATTGGATGATGTTGAGGATAATGTACCTATTAAATATAGATACAATTTTTTTTGATATACATCAATTGTTTTCTTAAGAATAACTTACGACCTATGGCTTTTCCTCGTCAAAGTCGTTATCTGCAATTGATGTGTAAGTATCATTCTATGTTTTGAGTTGTGGATAATTTGTTGTTTGGGTAAATTTTGGGAAGAAATGGCCGGTAACATCGTTGTGATTGGTGACTGGTAACGTCTTTTTCGTTACCTTATTTTGAATATTTTATAACATGTTTCTAGATCTACGGATTTTGTTTTTTAACCGGTAATACCCAATTTCCATTTTTGTGTGCATTTTTCATTCATTAATCAACATTTAACTTTAATTATATAAAAATATGGATTTTAAAATTCATCATTATCATTATGCCATCATTATCAGCAACAATTACAGCATCACCATTTCATCATTATCCTCACTAACAGTCTCATTATGTAGAAGTAATCACTGCAGCTCGCCTTTTCTCTAGCCAACACCAATATGCGTGTCATACATGCCTATACATCCAAACCACGATGAAAATGCTTATATTTAGTTTCAAACACACGTGTGTAATAATAAAATAAGCCCTATGTCGTATTGTTTTCTATGTGGGGGTGGGGGGGGGGTGGGTATCACATCAATTTATAAATTACTAACCGGGAAAATTATTACCTTTGCCGCCACCCCCTGACCCAAGACCCCTGTTACGCGCCTGCTTATAAGTGGGCACCCCCACTTTGAAAAACGTTCCGCCGGCCCTGTTTTATAACATGTTTCTAGATCTACGGATTTTGTTTTTTAACCGGTAATACCCAATTTCCATTTTTGTGTGCATTTTTCATTCATTAATCCACATTTAACTTTAATTATATAAAAATATGGATTTTAAAATTCATCATTATCATTATGTCATCATTATCAGCAACAATTACAGCATCACCATTTCATCATTATCCTCACTAACAGTCTCATTATGTAGAAGTAATCACTGCAGCTCGCCTTTTCTCTAGCCAACACCAATATGCGTGTCATACATGCCTATACATCCTCAATGTAGGCCTACCTACCATGTATTCTTTTTGACTTTGGACCTTGTTCGACAAGACCAATGCATTGTGGATTGAACTTCCACGATCTCCCTCCCACTGACACTGTGACAGCTTTGGTTTCATCGTCGACATCGAGCACAGTTCCTGTTTTACCACATACCTTATATATTTTATAAATAAAAAAAATATATGCTTATGATATTCCAAGTAGTTTCTATTTTTTCATTATTTAATCGATCTATCTTCGTCACTCTAAAACAAGAAGAAAACACCCGTTCTTTTCTCTCAACACTGGCTCTACTACCGTTCATGTAATTTCCAATACATTCCCTGAATTCGTTCTTAATATTTTAATAATGACCCAATCCCTTGTCTTTCAATTATATATTTTTGTATCCATTTGTTTATTAACTTATTTTTTGTTAATTGTTATTGTTTACTACTCTTGTTTACTTCCCTCTTATTCTTTGCTTATTATTATTTACTTGTTATTGTTTTATGTCTATTGTTCGATCTCATATATTATCTATTTACCGCTTTCATTTCTGAATCGAATTCACTGAATCCTTTTTGCATTTCTGCCATTTGAAATTCTTCGATATTTTTCACACAAACTTTATCACCTGAAGCAAATTTGGTAGTTTTGATGATCGGACCACTTGGTTTTGTTGTATTTTTCTTCTCGTCAGGTCTTTGAGAAACTGTTGGCGTAATGATAATGAATGTCATCACGCACAGTGATTACTCGGTTTATTTTTAAAATGTTCTTTAAGAAAATGTAAATCATCATATTAAACTGATTATAATAGTAACTATTTAAAATAAGCCTATATAATCAACGAATACAGAATCAAAATGAGAGTTTATTTTTGTTGTTGAATGGAACAATATAAAAAAAAGTTAATCAGACTGACTTGTTTGCACGAAGTCTTCTCCCTCGTCAGTTAGTTCCAAGCACTCAGGATTGATGTTCCAAACTGTATTAGCATCAAAGCGTACACGGGGAGTACGACCGTTTAATATGGCCTCAATACGACCCGTTTTGCATCGAACCTATACAAATCATAGTGATAGGAGGCATATAAAGCAAACCATAAATAAATTAAATAATAGTTTAATAAATAAATGTATGTTTTTAAAAGACAGTAAAATAATAATATTTATCATGGTGCGTTCGTCGAAATTACCATAGGGTTGACCGATAAAGTACTAAAGAATAACTTTACCAACATCGGTCATTTGCGCGCAATGCGTACTTACACTGAGCATTTTATCAACAAATCCGCCATGTTTACTCTGCAACTCCTTATACTGACTTTCTTCGATCCACTTCACACGTACAGTGTCGCCAACTTTGAAGGATATGCCTATTTTACCAGGCGTCGGCTGTGGCCTGTTGGGTGACGTTATATCATTTGTCGTTGGTGGTTTTTCTACAAACATATACGGTGTATTTAAAAATGACACACTTCCTAATGGTCCTATATTAAACAAATATCAATTACAAAACCAACACTCTTACCATAATAGACCTTTGCGGATTGTCAATCAAACTTAACAATTGACCAATCAGAACAGGGCAGGAATACGCGCGTGCACACAGACACACGAGTTTTCCCACAAAAATCGTGTTTGCTTATGTCATTACTCTATCGTTCTGGGGGATCTAGCAACAATATCAAAGAGGCGGGCCATTACCTATAGATAAGCATCAAGAAAAAGTCGACGCCTAGTAGCTTATATTAAAGCCTGTTTTCCATTAGGCGAATCTATTCGCGCGAAACGAAAGCGTCGGGTTATGCGCATGCGCATTCACATTCCTATCGGAGTTTTTGCGAAGCGAAAAAATGCGCAACTAATCAGAGCTCAGGAAGCGAACCGACGCTTTGATTCGCATGAATAAATTCGCCTAGTGGAAAATCAGCTTAAGGGAGTGACACAGAATTAGAAAGGCAGTTGGGGTGTTTCAGTTTTCTATAGCATCTAGAGATAAATAAGCAGCTCAAAGAACTGTACAATGATATCTTTCCCATAATTTTTATGACACAGAGTAATATTAGTAATAATATTAATAGTTTGTAACGCTATTTTATTTATATTTACCATTTTTATCTTTTATGTTGGATATTTTCTGTAGGAAATCGTCCGATGGCCTATCGACATTCGGTTGTACTTTGTCCAACAGTTTCGGATTTATGGTATAGACATTGTCATCAAACTTGATTCTAGGAAACATTTCGTTCTTAAACGTCAGAACTTCCTCCACAGTACCAGTCTTGCCAATAACCTACAACCAGTCATCTTCTCGTTATAACGATTATCGTATAGGCCTACCTATATTTAGTGGCGGCTCTAGGATATATTTTCTGGAGGGGGGGGGGGTGGCTGAGCTGTCCGGCAGGAGGACTTGAGGTCGTAGGCCCCAGCTGGGGGAAGGGTTGAAGAGGGGGTTCCCCTCCCAAATGAGATTATTTTAAGAACAGGATGGACAGAAATGACACTTCTCAGACTGTTTTTTAAAGGTACATTGGAAATATCACAATAAAAATTTTGGTTTTGCATGCGACCGGCTCCCAGTGTTCATACTAAAATTCACATTCGAGCAGCTGTGAATACTGTCCTGGTGGCCTTGCACCTTAAACTGCCGGGAAAAGGTGCGGTCATGTTTGGTTCATCTGCGTTGTTTTATTTTATTTTCTCACTTTCCGGTTTTCTTCAATTAAATGTATTTCATCGCTACAGTATATAATAGTAAACAAAATTTAAAAAAAAGCAAAGTGCTCTGATCTTCATTGTCCTGTCCGGTTAATTTTATTGTCATTTGCCATGGGGTACAAGGGGTTGACTATAAAATAGACATCTCCTCCGTTGGACACAATCCCGGTTAAAAATCAAGGTGTTGGACTGGAATATTATGAATCTGATAGTTCATTTAAGATACTGTACATTATCAAAATTATCTCTTGTTGGTAACGTTCCGGTTTTTCTGAATCATATCTTATGATTCCTTTTGCTCTTCCATAAAGAAATGTCGAACACCTTTGCTTTTGCAAAAATCATTCATTGTTTTTATTCCTGTATATTTTAAAGTTTTTTAACAATGGAAACAAAATTACATTGAATAGAGAGGTTTATGGCCACATTTTTATTACCATTTTAATTGAAAGAGGTTGTAGGTAGATCATGTCATAAAAATTCCTGTTTTTACTTCGGCTTAACCATGTGTCTGCTGCACACAAAATATTATAATACATACTCCAAGTATCGAAATGCATGCCATCGTGTCGGGATTCAATATTTCGATTAACTATGTCATCATCAGGAATTACCTGTACACTTACTGTACTTTATTCATCCCTATTTAGTTGCTGTAAAGATATCACAGGCTACATATTCATAAATTATAAGTTGTATAAGAATAGTTGTGCTTGTTTGGGATATACTCATACAAATTAAGTTACACACCTTAGCTAAGTCTTCAGAGAAGCCCCCGTAATCTGCCTGCATCAGTTCAAATAGATCCATGCTCACACTTCGTACGGAAACTTTGTCTCCCTTCTTGAGTTCATAAGATGGTTTCTCTGTTACTTTCGATGCTTTTCCTCTGTCACTCGCAGCTTCTACAATTAATTATTATTATTAATTATTATTATTATTGTGGTTGTTGTTGTTATTATTATTATTATAAAATATAAATTACGTAACCTAATATTAGGCTAAATAAAACACTTTTGCCTGAGGACAATGACACTCAGCATTCAAAATCGGTTGGTCGACAGTTGCATGTATAGGTTATTCATAGGATCACAGGGCTAAGATCGTTAACATAGACTTACCAACATGAGCAAGATGACTACGATAGTACTGCTCAGATTTGTGTTCCTTTACATACTTCAGATCAACTTGACCCTCGAAACCAATTCGATAACCTTTAACGCTTCCATTTTTCCATTCCACTTTGGCTCCACTTCTCCACGAACTTTTATTCCAATTTGCTATCGATTTTACGATACCAGTTTTTCCATTTCCTCCTGGATGAAATAAAAACCAATTGGTTTTATCAGTTTTGCTAAAAAATACAAGTTTCATATTGTTTTTTTTTTTATAAATATATATTATATGGCCTATCACAATGCTGGGCGGATTTAGGATTAGGTGGTAGGGAGTGCGTGAGAGTTCGCATCACCTCAGCCCCATCATGGTTGGGGCTGAGGTGATGCAACCTCTAGGGCCTCTAGGTGCCAAGAAAAGGCACTCTCATACCTTTAAAATCTTACCGGTAATTCATACAAAAACAATAAAATACAATTGTTATTTTCTTAATACAATTTAGGGGGTGTGATCGCATTGCTGCACCCCCACCCCCGCATCCGCCCAAGCAATGGAAGAAATTGTTGCAGCGGAAAAAATCTTTATTGTTGCGATACAGTAATATCACTGTATATTGCACTACTAGAACATGGATTGGACTAAAAAGAAAGCCATAAAGTATAGCATAAATATAATCAGAAAGAGAAAACCGACAGCTTAAAATATAATAGTGGCATCTGCGTATTGGTTCTTTCTTACAATTTATATAAAAGCAATAATCTCAGTATTACCATGGACCTATTAATGGTATAACCCCCTCCAGGTGTGACCAGTTGAGTTCAACACTATTATTGGATTGTGTGTTCTTTGTACACTGCATGAACATAGATCGCACCATAGACTTCTCAGAAAATCCCCCTTATATTATACATTACCCCTTAGTTATAAAAATAGATATACCGTACATAATGCTAATTTTCTCCGAATAGAGAAAATAAACAGCGATTGGTTGATTGATTATTATTATTAAGTGTTACTTTGATCTAGACATGTTTGTTCAGTTGTTTGTTGTTGTTCAGGCGTCATCATAATAAATCATAGGGCTACAATGTGTTTCGTTTCATCAAAGAATGTTTTGTTTATTTTTTTTATGATAGTGTATGTTTTTCACATACGAAAGAGCAACTTTGGTCTCATTAGGGTATCTTGTGCATCTTTCCATAGCCCTACTTAGACTTATCTCACTTACCACACATAATAAATGTAAATGCAAAAATATTAAACATTTAAAACAAATCAATTTAAGTTCGTCCATTAATAGAAGAAGGAGAAGTAGTAGAAGAAGTAAATAGCACTTTAAAGTCACTTTTACGTTCATTCTTATTCAACAGTGGGAAACTTGTCAATTATTAGATAAAATATGACAACATTAAGCAATGCTCTATAAACTAAGTATTATTATCAGGTATTGGTAAGTGTAGTTGCTGTGAAACAGTGTAATTGCTAAATGGGAATAAGTTTATTATAGGAGTGATGTTTTGCCCTTCCTGGCGTATTATCGTACCGAATATTCAGTACGTTCCCAAATGCTTGGGAATTTAATCCACGACCTCCGGATAACTAGGCTGGCGCCATAAAACTTTATTGGGCTATTTCTCAGTTTATAATTATTGTTGTACTTTTACCTTTTCTTTGTTCATCGGCTCCTCTGTATGTTGTTTCGTTATTGAACCTTAACTGAATAAAACAGAACTGAATTGCACTGTAACTAAACAAACTATATGACTAACGCCTCGTATAGTGTTGGGGAAATTATGTTCTACGTCCTATTTGGTGGTTTAGAAAGTGGAGTTTATGTGTACAATTATTGTATTAGTAGGATTTGAATTTGGAACCATTAGGTATATTGAAAGAAACCTACACCACCAACAAAGAGTCCACCCCCTAGACAAAAATTAACAAACGTTGAGAAATGTGGCTTATTATGATGATGACGTTTGTATGGCGTACCATCTTGATCTTCCCATTTCCAATGAATTCCACGAGTCACCTCTGCGCCTTTACTGATCCCCCAAGCCTGCAACATTACTGACCCATGTCTCTTTTCAACAGGCACTCTAAATGAAATACAATGTTTTTAATTAAACAACTCTGTATTTCTCCAATTTTTTTGTCATTAAAAATGGACTTAATTGAAATAATCATCCTAGATTTGTATTGTAGGCCACAACATAGGCCTATTTTCTTTAAATTTGTAACCTGATGGTTCAAATTTAAATTATAAGAGTAAATATATTACACTAAATCGCATTATTTGAACACACCGATTTCATTTCATTTATTTGTCTCAAACAATTAGAATGTACATAAATAGAAACGGCAAAGAACAATCACAAAAGTACAAAAAACAGAGACAGGACACTCCAAAAGTAAAATCAATCACTGTCGAGTGGAGGCCCTTTACAAGAAAAACACAATACATACAATATAAAATTCTTCAGAAAGATAAAAAATCGAAAGATAAATATTGAAAAATAGAAAAATTAAGTAAAAATCAATAAATGAGCAAATTTAATTTAAAAGGTATTTGAGACATAAAAATATTCAGATGGATGGAACTTAAATACGTATGTGAGCTTTACCTTTGACCCCCTTCATGAGTAATTCTTAAAAACTGATGATCCAGATCATGTTTTTGGCTCATATAACATGAATTGCAGAGATCATAGTTGTAGCATTCATTACACTTCCATCGTACACCAAGAAAAGCTTCTTTATTACATGAATCACACTTCACGTTTGGGTGACTAGCACCTGAAATATCAATGATATTTTTATTCTACTATCATGAAACTATTATGAATAATAATGTTTTTCATTATTGTGATATTATTATCGGTATCGTTATGGTTATCTTTATCATTATTAATATTGTTATTACACACCGATATATATATTATATATATATATATATATAATATATTTATATAATTTTATATATGCTACGACTAAGCCGTTTACATTTATTTAAAAGAATACTTTACTAATGTTTTTACTACTGAATTTTACTATTTTAATACTTAATTAAGGCTTTTATCATTAACCTTATTACCCTAAATTGTGATTTAAACTTTTTCGATTTATTTTAACAAAATTCAATGTATTCTGTGTTTTAGATTAAGCTTTTTATCCTCTTTTTAAATAATTAATTGTCTCTATTTAATTTTAATAATATGCAACTTGTTGATATTTTATATACAGTACTGTAATTTTGTACCACAAAACAGGACCATGTGTAAAACAGGCTTGTTATACCCTCCTGATACGGTATGTTATTTTGTATAAATAATAAATAAATTGTTATCATAAAGACATTTTTAACAATTTCTTTAGATTTAATAGTTGAAAACGATTTGTATGTAAATATAGCAGAGTATTTATCATACCCGTTGGTGCATTGTCGTATATCAGTAATTCTCCATCAATTCCTATCTTACAAACGGTTGTGTTTCCATTATCCCAGACCACGTGACATTTATCTGACAATGGTGGTTTGTTTTCAGGTTGGAAGATAGTTCCCATGTGGCCTTCACCTCCATCCACTTGGCCTTGTGACCAGTTGCCACTGCGTACAACCCTTGTACCAACACTCATGGTCACACTGTAATCTAACAACTAGACTCCTCTTGATTTTTAGAATTTCTACAAAATGTATATTATACTTGGCTTAAATTTCATATGAAATATTTGATTATTTCAGTGGCGCTGATCCAGTTCAACGGCATATTCACCATGTTCAATGACGGCGGAAGTGGGGGTGCCATTTCATAAGGTCCTGTATGCGAGCGAAGCGAGCATCTAGGCTGGGGATAGAGGATAGATAGAGGATCTACTACCTCAGCCCCAGCATGGTTGGGGCCCATGTAAGAAAATTTGTGATTATGGCACCTCTAGATGACCGGAAATTGCACTTCCAGACATAAAATTTAAATATAATTTTCTTTATGATATCTACATTTTTTTTAAATTGAATAATATTTTTTTGGGGGGTGGGGGCGACTGCAGGGCCCTCTTGAATCCGCCACTGGGTACTTTCGCAGCTGAAGGATCTATACCACCTCAGCCCCACCATGCTTGAAGCTGAGGTAAGAACGGTGTGATTATGGCACCTCTAGATGGCCGGGAGCACTCCCAGACTTAAAATTTAGGCCCCACCCCCTTGAATCCGCCACTGATTTCCGAACAAAGTTGAAGTCAAGATTGTTTCCACGATCTCAATGAATTATTAATCATGAGGGGTATCCTTGATATGTGTATTCCCTGACGAAACCTTCACTTTTCCCCCGATGGATGAAAATTACCCTTACCCGGAAATGCCCTACTCCTACTGTGGCGGGTCCTGGATAGTTAACCAAAAATGGCCTGATTAAGTAAGTTATTGTTTTCGTAATTTAAATGGAGTTTAAATGTGGTTATTTTACGCTAGTTTGAAGGTTTACTGTTCATGGTTAGCATAAAGAGGTCGCTCCATAAAGAGTGCCTCCCCCATATGCCTACAGAATTGACGAAGGCCATTCTTTTTTCTCATGCTCGAGGGTGGGTTTCAAGGAAACTTTTCAGACGCGCGTATACAGACGTCAATCAACATTTGATTGCTCAACTCAAAAAGGGCAATTGTGATGAAAATGAAAAAAAATCTATATTTATAATAATAATAATAATAATAATAATAATAATAATAATAATAATAATAATAATAATAATAACAGGTCAATTTATAAGGCGCAAACAAGGTCTCTAAGCACCAAATAATAATAATAATAATAAAATAATAATAATAATAATAATAATAATAATAATAATAATAATAATAATAATAATAATAATAATAATAATAATAATAATAATAATAATGACATTGCAGCGTCATTGCATTGCTTCTGCCGCCGTTGACCATGTTACATAATTATACTCTGGGTCAGAAATACAAACGTATGGTTAGTGCTTTGTTTAGGTGGAACAGTGGAATACAAATATTCGATAAAACGAACTCACGGTTGAAAGCAACCTGGATGTGTCAACCACCTCTAGAGACCACCACTCTATTAGCTCACTATCTTTTTCTTATTCCCTTTCTTTCAAAATAGTTAATTGAGGGTATCGATTTAAGTGAGCAAATCATAATACAAAACCAGAGACCCACTCCCATTCAGTAACAGATCCTCCAGTATCAAGTTTTAAGATTTAATATAGGCCTATGAAAAAAAAAATCATATGTTAATACTAAAACAAATGCAAGTTAGGCCTAATAAACTCAGAAGAGATTCTATGGATCAAACACATGAATGAGGGATTTTGAATAGCTTGGTGGTTAAGATGCTTGCCTTCTAATCCCTGGGTCCTGGGTTAAATTCCTGTCACAGCAGGACTTTTTCTTACGACCAAAATCAACTCCACTCCGTCTCATACAGAGACTTCACTGAGAAAATCATCACATTTTTCTTATTTAAGAGGGAATCTGAATATAAGCCGACCTTCTACGATAAACTGGTAAGAGTCACTCTCAAAAATAAAATATGGTTAAAAATGAAATATAATGATGTTTTCAACAAATTAAATATGAATTGTAAAACAGAATCAGAAACATAAAGACAAAAACAGCACTACTCAGTAACAAAAATATAGTAAAAAAATAAGCAATATACTTGCACATTATAATATTGAAAATTTAAAATAAATTACGATATATTGCGAAACAAAGTAGGCCTACTCTAGTTCTTGTATACTTTTTGTCTCTTATTTTACCGGGAAAAAAAAAAGAATTTCAACCGGGTTGACAATTTATATAACATTCTGATACAATATTCTTTTATCTCGATTATTGAAATCTAAATAAAAATTAACATTGGAAGTGGAAAATAAAAGTAGATGCCTCGGTTAATCATTTCAGGAAACCCCAGAAGCGCCTCTAGCCTACAATGAAAAATATTGGATTTATTCCTCCATGATTGGACGCATTGGCAAAGGCACCAAATGAGAATGGATCTACGTAGTCATACGTTTCCGGGTAATTTTCTCAAATAACGTACACTTCATTATTCCTACCTGTTTGTCCGTATGTCTGCGAAATTTTGGGCCTATAACTGGGCCTATATACGGTTTGTACTGGTGAAACTGAGTAAAACTGGGAAATCTCACAGTTGTATAGGCCTAATAGGCCTATTATGCATAGGCTGTGGAAATTTTACGTACATGCTAAAAATAGATTATGCATAATGAGGTCAAACACAATTTGTATTCAGTGACATTCACGGTAGGAGACTCCCGTTGAATCTGAATTATTTTCGCACAAATAGGCCTGATGCAACACATTTTAGTTCAGCTATAACCGTTTTGAAACACCACAGATAAATAATTATTTTCTATGGATTGTACCACATTGTACGTACGCTAATCCCAAGCCCATCAAAGAAAAAAAAATCAGAAAGGAACATTACTCTAAATCCTGCCTATCTTCCCAACTAAAATTAATTACACTGTACTTATACTGCATTACCCTTCACAACTAAGTCGATAATAGTATGCAATTTTTTAAATACAACTTACAATGGTAGCCATTGTGTATGCAGCGACGGACGAAGACGAAGTGTTCGCGTGAACTGCTGCGGCATACGCTAATTTGCATAATAGGGGAATCCCCTTGCCTCTAAACTAAGCAGTAACTATCATTGCAAAGATGTTTTAAAATCTTGTAGATGCAACTTACCAAACCAGTTCTACTTTGAAAGAAATGTTTATATTGCTTTGCTGTTATGGTATTTTGAATTATTAGGACTCAACAGTACAGTACGTTCGGTTATGCAGCTATCGATTTGTTTATCTTAGCGTTGGGATTTTTGGTATTCTATTTTTATCATACTTTCGACATTGATAAATTTCCGTGTACAGTGAAAAATAACAACGCAACCGATTCACAGCAAACGAAGGAACGATATTAGTTTCTAGACGCAAAGTCTTGTATTATTTAAAATTATATGTTAACGGTAGGTTGTGGTTTTTTGTTATAATTGTAGTTATATTCGAGTAGAAGAGGCCTAATGCGCATACAACGGAAGCGGTAACAATACCTGGACACCTTCGGGCATAAGGGGACCTACTGTACTCACTAAAACGGGTAGAGCAAGGTTATTGGTACCTAGATACGCCACTATCAGGGGTCCCAAGTTGGAAGTCAGTTCCAGAAGATCTACAGCGGCGGATCTAGGAATTCGAAATAAGGGACCCAGGAAGGGACCTTCACTGATATATGATGGGGAATCTAGACCACACCTCAGCCCCACCATGATTAATGAGGTAACACAAATTATGATTATGGCACCTAGACCACACCTCAGCCCCACCATGGTTGAGGTAAGACAATTTATGATTATGACCACTTCGGGTGTCCGAAAATTGTACTCTCGGACTTGAATTTGTATATAATTTAGGGACCCGGACGGCTCTCCCCTACCCACTCACCTTCATTCAGCCACTGAGCTGTTAATACATTTCATTTTATTTTACTACACATAGTTATACCCATCGGGACTGACTTCCGTGAGACAATTGATAATAAAGCAGGGACATGCAAATAGATTTGTGGGAGATGGGATTCTTGCTTGCTTTGCGGGAGTGTAGGAGGCCGTACCAATTTCCAGGAGACTCCCGCCAGTTGCGGGAGATTTGGGAAGCCTGTAATATTAAGCTATAGTGACATAGTAAAACTTGTAAAACAATGCGGTATCGTTGTTTATATTGCACCATTGTTTACGCTTCTTGAAGCTAATTTCATATTATTATCGCCACTCTCCTATTTATTCCCAAAACAAGTGGCTAAGGAAGATTCATCATTCACCTTTTGTTATGCTACGTTTTATTTGGCATATTTCATATCATTTCTTTCGTCGATAATGCATTCAAAATACAATGACGAACCATGACGAACAGGAAAAAATTGTTTAGAGTAAAATGAAAAATCTACAATCTACTGAAAACATGATTAGATTACACAATGATACTATCACGTGCTTTTACAAAAGTAAAAACAAGTTCACTGTCTAGAATTAAAAATGCCATTTGTATGTGCCTGTTTCAGATTGAAAAAACACAAAATAGGTGCACATCTTATCGATTGTAATTTAACTGCATTGCTTTTGACGAGGCAAGTTGAACTGAAACATTGAAAAGACATTTACAGCACAAAATCAAGAATAGATAAACCGAAGGCAATATGGATGACATTATTTGATTGAATTAAATAACCCAGGTTGGTAATTCGGGGTCGATAAAAGTATAACACACAATTGGAGAGAGGTGAAACACTGTCGTTTAACCTTTATAACAATCCCTTTACACACAAGTTATAGAAAATTTTAAAATAGCAATGTCTGGTACGTTGGAATTTCCCATTAATAATTGACCTTTCTGGAGTGTCAAAAACAAACTGTTCAATCAAAACGTGTTATTCAATAGCCAGAATACGCGTATGTCCCACAAACATACACATTCCCGTTACTACAAACAACTCGACTATCAACTATTTATGGGACTATTTTTTTAAGTGCGTCATGCGTTATTTGCAGTGTTAATGTAATGTATTGCAACTTGCTTATTCTATCAATCGTTCCATTTATGGTTTAAGTAGGCCCTACCTTCTCCGAGGAGGATATGTATTACTCGCTGAGTGTCTGTCTGTTAAAGGAATATACGCAAAATCTAAATAATCGATCATCATAATAGTGAGGTATATCAACACTTAATGGAGTGGTATGATGGGCCTAAGAGAGAGGTAGTTAGATAAAAAGGTCAAAGTTCAAGGTAAAATTCACTGAAATTCGGGAAGAATGTGGTGCGTTCACTTAATTATTAGACCTACTAATAATAATCCATTCGCGCGTGAGTTGCTGTAGTATGACAACTTCTCGTTCAATAATTTGTAGATTCGTGTTAAAATGTAAAATTGTTGTTTTACGATATTTTAATTGACATAAATAGGAACTAAAAAATGCCCTTAATGGTAAGATAAAGGGTGGTGCACGATACAGATTCGTGCAGGCGTCTGGGCGGTAAATCGTAACAAACGTTTTGTCCTTCAATTAGTATAATTATGATACCGAATAAAATACTAGTAGGCCCTACTATTATGTATTTTTCGACAGAAAAAACAACCTGTTGATTTTTAAAGCATGAGTGGACTTCGTGTTGTGCGGGGTCCGGATTGGCGATGGAACGCACAAGACGGAGGTGAGAGTCACGTGGGCACAATAGTTTTCCCAAAAGACACCGATGAACGTAAGTATTGTGATTATCTTGAACCATATACAAATATAATCAATATGTAATTAATTAATGTTTGCATTTATATCTTTTAAATGTCATGTTTTTTTAAATATTTTTCAAATGTCATGTTTTTGTGTAATTTATAATTATGATATAATGTTGTATTGTAAATATCGTGAAATTCAGCCGTAGGCTGCGATGTCGACGTGTTTTTCAATAAAAGAAAATAGAATAAACGAATACAAAAATAGAATCACACTATAATAAATATTATTTATTAATTAATAATATTTATATTCAAATAAATAATGTTGTATATAATAAAATTCACACTCATAATCATCATCATTTTCATCACCATTATCCTCATAATGAACATCCTCATCATATTTATCATAATTATCATTATCACTATTATCAGGGGGCGGATTTAGGGGGCTGCTTAGAAGGTTAAAAGAAATTTAAAAAAAAGAAAGAAAGAAAGAAAAAAATAATTGATCGCCCAAAACGCCTCAAAGGTAATTTTCGGCCGTCTAAAAAAACCAAAACATTCGCGTGACCACCCCTAGAGGTCTGTGTTTCGATCGGCCCCACTTCGGACCCCTTTTCGGAAATCTCCCGATCCGCCCCCTGATTATTGATATTCTATTATTACTATTTCTGCATTGTTTTAATATTTTTCTATCGATAGTCAAGACCAACACAGCTTTTGTGAATTGGGATAAAGGGTTACGTGCCAACTACCGCACTGGACTCGGCAACAAGTACGATTTGTTGGTATTCGACAGTGCGCCTCTTGGTAAGTAAACACATTTCTAAATACATGTATAGTATAGTGTAATCACTTTATTTATTCACGAAAACTTATTCTATAATAATAATATCGTTCTACCATAAGATCGTGATTATAAACATGCATTCACATAAATGTATTCAATTTCCCATGCGATTATAATCAATAACTCAATCATCTTCATATTATTTTATCAATGTATGGAATGATCTAGGAATTAAACACAATGTCCAATGCATTCACATAAATGTATTCAATTTCCCATGCGATTGTTTTTCATATGGAATTACAAATACAAGTAGGACACAAGATATAAACTATAACTCAATCATCTTCATATTATTTTATTAATGTATTGAATGATCTAGGAATTAAACACAATGGTGTCCAATGCGACGCTTGCAATACAGTTCCAGTTTACGGTATGAGATGGAAGTGCACGGAATGCCACGACTATGACCTGTGCCATTCTTGCTACATGTCAGATGAGCATGATAAAAACCATATATTCTGCCGCCACGATGCACCACACCTTGACGGGTATGTAGTCATACACATTCACCAAAGTAGACCCAAGTAGGCCTCCCACATTGAACAACAAGATCTGTAAATCGCAAATAACTTCCTCTGGCAGCTTTCCTCATTGCTTCCATTTCTTCTCTCAATAGACTCCTCAGTATTCATTGTTTTGCTGCTTCAAATTCTCATGTTTGTAGACGACTGTAGTCATCCCTTTCTTTCTGCCTCTATTTATCCACTCCGTATAAAATATGTCATCTTTTCCCTGCTACTTTCATCTCTCATCTCCGTAGACGTCTTTAACATCCTTTTCCGCGTTAATTCTTCACTCTGTAGACATCCTTGTCGCCTTCTATTGTACCTCTCCATAGACGTATTTTAACTAGTTGTAGATGTTCTCTTTCATCCTTTCTTTGCTACTTTAATTTTCACTCTCCTTCGTCCTCTGGTATTTTACTGCTTAAAAGTCTCATTTCTTTAGACGTCATTTTTCACCTTTACTTTGCTACTTTTATTTGACCTCCCCGTAGATTTCCTCTGGCATCTATTCCTGCTTTAATTTTTCATTTCCATAGAAATCCTTTCACAATACATTATTTAGCTTATACAATTTTGTCTCTTCGTACGTCGTTTGGTCGTTCAACCTGTTCATTATCCTTTATACGTCGTTTGGTATCATTTAATGCTGCTTCAACCTGTTCATTATCCACAATCCATTCTGTATTTCGGTGCCCTTTGTCATTATAACCAGGGAAAAGAACTGCGCTTTATAATCACAAGGAAGAGGCGCATTATAAATGCCAGTACCAGTACCAGTACCAGGATAATTCCACAGGAAATATACCCAGTGCACAGCGATTGGAATGCAATTTTCCCCACCATTATACTAACCAAACTACCAAACACGCTACCCAGAATACCACTTACAATAATGATACTCACCGCACATACTTCATCAGAGGTTTCATCATTGTCTCATAAACAAACAACAGTTTATAATTGTTTTATTTGATGGTATAACTTGTTACATACCGGTAATTTGTTTGCAGGGTTCCCGTGTCAAAGCGCGCGGGAGCAGTGAAATGTCAGGCATGGGGAACATTCGAAGGAGCAACAGTCGTCCGAGGATCTGATTGGCACTATGGGGATCAAGATGGTAAAAACATATCTAATTTATTTCCAATAATGAGTCCACGATTTGGAAATGAAAACAGGTTCGGATCAGAAGGGACCGGGGCATATATATAATATAGGCCACAGGCAGAGCGACCGAAAAAACAAGTGAACCATGACGCTCTTGTGCTTGTGGATCTCTCACTGACTAGCATCTGTCTTTGATTTACTACATTACTAACCCTTCTATCTCCAATGATACTACAGCATTTTTAACATTTATGACCCACTCTAGCAAAAACAGCCTCTGTCATAAAAAACAGCCTCTGGACATATTTAGCTGATATGAAGACTTCTTTTTTTATATGACAACCGCCTGGTGTTGCTAGAGTCGGTCACATTTGTAGGCCTATATGAATTAAGTTAGCCACAAAAAAAAAATAAAAACAAAATAAAAACAAATAAAAACAAAGAGAAAAAAAACCCTAAAAAACAAAAATCGAGCAGAATATGGTCACTTAATTCATATATTTATGTGGCCTTTCTTTTCGACACAACTATCTGAAATGATTGAAAGATCAGGACAAAAGTGATGTTTGTAATAGGCAATGCGAGCACTAATAGGTAATAACAGTATGTCTGCATTCTACTGTAGCCAGGTCAATTCTTTAACTGTTACGAAGATTGAGAACGTAACTAAATTATTTATTATAAGTTTTGAAGAACTTCGATATACTTGTTTTTTGTTTCAGGTGGAAAAGGCAAACTCGGCAAAGTAGTAAGTATAATAAATTGGAAAGACGATGTACCAAATAGTGGGGCTAAAGTCACGTGGCCTTCTGGAACAAGCAATAACTACCGCGTGGGATTTGGAGGCAAGGTGGACGTAGAGTATGACTCAGAGTCAAGTGGTGGCTTCTTTTACAGAGATCATCTTCCAAAATTTGGTAAGACTATCCATCCGATAAGGAAGGTGTTGAAAACTTGAGAACAAATGATTGTGGTTTTTTTTTCAGGTTATTTGAAAACACTCGTTGATGGGCGCTCTCTGGCTGTGAGCTCATCCATTTTCTGCCTTTTTATAGTTTTGGCAGTTCTCGTAAATTGACAGTAATTTAGAATTGGCGTTGCCGTTTCTCGGTCTGAATCTTAAATTGGTAAATGTATTTATGATGAAATCTATTTTTCCCTGCAGATTGTGATGATGACATTGTTTCAAAACCTCAAATATAATTAATAATGAAATTATTTAATTACACTTCAGGGATGGCACTCCAACCTCTATTCAACATGCACTGATCCTAATGGAATATACATATAAATGCAATAATACTAGATTATTGTTTACAAATAATTATTATTATAAATGGAAATAAATGCGAATCAATAATAAAAAAAATCAATAGGCCGGTCCCTATATCAGTAAATACTTTTTACGTTCAAATTCTAATTTAAATATGTCTTTATTAATAAATGAAATAAATTGAAATTGAACAAAGACAAAACAAATAGAAATTAGATAATAAAAATATATATTATAAAGTTACAATAGAATTAAAAGGAAAATATAAAGTATAAATCTTTCATTTAATTAAAAAATAAAACTAAAATACCATAAAATATAATTATTATTAAAATACCATAAAATATAATTATTATTATAATATTTTCGTTGTAGGCCTACATATATCGAAGAGATATGTTCTGCATGCACTATATTATCCATAGGCCATGTTTGTTGTTCAAAACATGAACACCGACCAATGGCATTTAAGGCCCCTGTGCAATTCTTTGAATTCAGCACAACCGGTATTGACATTTCACAATACTGTGTTTACATTATTATTTAAAGGTTATCATGCACATCCTTCCAAATAGCGTGAACCTATTAATCGTTTTCAACCACCCAAGAGCCGTGACATGGATTTGATTGTGATGCTTAGTATTATTTGATAATAATTGTGATGGTTCAGTGTAGGCCTATTATCAGTTTGCTGATGGTGTTACAACGGAACATTTTATTGCTCTATAGTCCGTCTCTTCCTCAATCGCCATTCAGCCTACCCTACAGATTATTCTAAATGGGCCTATAACATGTTGAAATTGGTATAGTCACTTTACACATTGCTTCTTGCTAATGCAGTCTTCAGGTGTGAGATAATACAAGGGTATAATAAAAATTTATATTTGGACTTTAGACATATCAAATTAAAAGTCATTGGGCATTTTTTTTTATCTGAAGAGTGTTGCACAATATAAGTCTAATATGAAACTAATTATATAGTAATAAAACGCCTATCCAAACATTCAGCTGAACCTGCATTAAATTATACATATAAAACAATAAATAATAAATTATAAAATTCGTAAACCATTTTGTGTCGATGTTGATATAAATATATATTTTTAATGGAAATGATGAGGAAGTGTATAATAGGTATTATATTGGCACTAAATACACATCT